TATTGGTAAATATTTTTCGGACTATATTTTTCAATATACTTTCGTAATTATTGATAGTCTTTAACAAGGTACCTAATATAATAGAATTATTAAATTTAGATAATTCCAATTAAATTTTAGAATTTAATAATTCGAATACGTAGAATAATTAGTTTTTGAGAAGAAAATCGTATACTTTAGTATTTCGAATAATTTATTATACGAATAGACGGATTATTTTACTTTAATATAAATTTTAGCATATAACACAACGGACTTTTAAACTACGGAAAGTATCATTAATATTACGTTTGAATTTTTTAATTAAATATTCGTAAATTAATTCGAAGTCGCTTATAATTAAGGTTCGTCGTTTAAAGTTGCTCAATTCTACTAAATACTAATTTAATACTATAGTTTATAAGTAGGTCGTCTAGATTTTTTTAATTGCCTATTCCCCCTGGTTAGTTGCAAAGTCTTTTAATTAGTCCGTAAAAATATAAATAGTTATATAAATTATATATTTGCCTCCCGAAACTATTATATTAGTATTATCCGTATCTTTTTTATTGGGGTTAAAATAACCGATTTCTTCAGCCTTTAAATATATCAAAAGTTAGGGAATTACTATTAAGCCTAGTTGGGGCTACTAGTTTTTATTATTTATTACGGCTAATAATTATTGAATTCAAACAAATTATATTAGAATAAAAGCTTTTCACAAGGGTAAAGAATTGCTTCTATTATTATTATTATTATTATTATTATTATTATTATTATTATTATTACCGTTATTATTATTATTTCCTCTATTATTATATCTACTATTATTATTATTACCGCTATTAGTACTACTATTTCTAATTAAAATCGATATATTTATTTTCGGTCGTTCTGGTAATTTTAAGTTTACGTTAGATTCTAAGTTAAATACGAATAATATTTAATTTTTATTGGTTAAATGGTTAATATTGTATAGGGAATAGAAGGTATTATTAATATTAACGTCGACTATCGATTCTTTAGTTTAAAATTCGAAAATAATAAAGTCGCCGATGCCTAAATATAATTAACGACGTTAATAACTATTATTAAAGTTAAACGGGCTAATAATAAGTTAACGGAGAAAGGTAGGAAGAAGAGGATTCGGTCGAAAGAATTATTATAAGGTTTCGGTATCGAAATCGAAACCGAAGCCAAATTAACGATTTTAATTCAGGTATCCTCGTAATCGAATAATTAGGGTTAATTATTATTAAAAGGAAGTATTAAAAAGAATAATGTATTAAAATTAATTAGAAAGGGGGGTATTAGAGTATTACTTAAATTAAAAAAACTAAATTGAAAAGATTAATTTAATTAAGGTTCTGAGAATTAAAACCGTAGAACAATCTCCAACTCTTTCGGAGTAATTACTACTTTAAATTGTATTTAACCTTTCTAATACTCTCCCTCTATTACTTATTATAAATTTTCTACAATTTGCCGCGAAATCCTTAAAGTAGAAACAAAAAGATCTAGTATTAATAAATACGAAAGAGTAAATATCTTCAAATTTGTCGACGATTTAATCTAGGTTAAGAGCTAATAATTTAGTGTAATAAAGGTTTTATTCGCTAAAAATTATTATACAAAAATATTAAATACGTTGGAACTTTAAAATCTACCTAATAGTACATTAAATTTGAACGGCTAAACGTTAATACTTCTTTCTCTCGTTATATATTACCACTAAATTAAATAATATATAAAGAGAAGGTTAGCTAAACGCGTAGAAAACTAGCGTTCAACCGGGTTAGAATAATAATTAATACTATTAATTTATCGTAATAACTACTATTATTTAAATAGTACGTATTAATAACGCTTAATAGAGTAATAAAGTTAGTATAATATACCCGAATATATACTTGATAGTGCAGCAGAAGTCCGGCTACTCAAATTTCTAAGTAATTCAAAGATTGAATAAAGTATTCCGAATTCTGAAGGAATTCCGGAAAAAAAAAAAAAGGTAATAATAGAATAATCGTCTTCAATTAATAAGTATAAGCACTACTTTATAAATACGTAGTAGGACTATAGTGCAAATGTATTATAATTATATTATATAGTCTAATAATCCAGAAGAGGGGAGAGTAGAAGCTAATATATAAGAGGTACGCTATATTTAAGTAGGCCTATATACGTTGGGTACCTCCTACACCCAATACCTTATACCTTCCTATACGCCTGATGTACCTATACTTTCCCGCATTGTACTTATACCTTACTCACACCTGCCTCACACCTAGGGTATAGCTGCTTACACCAACCTTGAAAGAGATTAGTCCTGGCTGGGCAACCAAGCTGCTGGTGCTTCTGTTCTTGTTCTCGGCCTTTTGATGTCTAAATGTCCAATCAGATTGCTTGTGCCAGTATGCTGCACAGCTCAGGGTTGCTTGCCTGCGTTTCCAAGCGCGCGTGAGAGATGGCCCGCGCGCTCAGACAGCTTCGGACGACGGCGTGGTGGCGGATCACGGGATCACTGGGCGCACGTTTATGACTTGCGCGGACTGCCTTGACTGCCGTGCTTCCTCGAGTGTTCTCGATGTTTTCGATATGATAGCTTTGAACCTTCAGTGATGAGAAGGATTGGCCAGGGGGCGATCCCTTGCGCTTGAACTTTCACTGGCTGGCTGCCGGATAAATCGACTGTGTACCATTCTTAATCGACTGTGTGGATCAGATACAGCCAATGACAAAGTCATATTCGCGCCCGCCGCCAAAGTTCGCCGTGGTGAATATCGTATAATATCTTTACTAAAAAGTCGTCGGAAGTTGGATATTACAAAGACGATAGAAGACTGCTATTGAGATTCTAGTAAGGTTAGCTGTTATTTAGCTTAAATGAGGGTATTGTTTAGGCGCGCCGTTCTGGTACCCCGGGTTGTAGGCGGCCGAGCTTGCTGAATTTGGAGTTAGGCTTCCAAACGAGCCACCTCCTACCTCGCTCGTATATACTATTCCGCCCTCGCTTCCGGCTCCGAATATTGCCGCGGCCATTCTTTTCATTAAACGTTTCGAAAAAGGTAGCTTTGAGCTCTCATTATCGTAGTTCGAAATAATGAACTCTAGTGAGAACTTAATAACCGCGGGCGCACGAAGTTGATATTAAGCTTTGGGTCTTGGCTTGAGCTTGGCTATTAGTTTATATGGCCCCACACAGTCGATTTATCCGGCTCGTTTCAATGTCGTTTATTAAGGAGTGCTCCACAACTTAAATGACGGGATCCCGTGTTGGCTCCGCTTCGACAGGCGGCTCGTCGTGCAACCCCAGGTCGCTCTTTCGTCGCACAAAATGTCTCTCTCAACACGCAACACAAGAAAGACGAGAGTGTTTCAAAACTGGTGTTTGTTGTCTGCTTCCACCGATTTTTGTAGTCTTGAAAACCGACCGGATCAAGAACGCTGTGCTGTGACGTGAATCACAGTCGCAGTGGCTCTCCTTGTCACAAGACCGAGGCCTCAATTGCTGTCTGAGGACGACCTTAACCGACGATCAGGGGCCGCGGCCTGGCCTTCTTCAGAGTCTAGCGATTGGAGACGGCTGGGCGACAGCGCAAACGCAATACGAGGGCGGCTACCCGTGTTGCTTCAGAATGTTCCGAAGACTGGACAAGCGAAAGAAATATGAGAAAGTGTATTATCGTGAAGACGATGATTGCTGAAAATGAGTGTCGTGGGCTCCCTTCCCTTTGTCCAACCAGTTGTTTGTTTGTTTTGTTTTTCGTTTCTTCAACCACGGGAAGTGAAAATCTCAGCTGTTGCCAGCGTTGGCCCAAGCAGTCCACAGCGGACATTCAGGGGCCACCAATGTCAACTTGGGAGGACCCGACCCCGGGTGTTTCTGCGTCGGGACTATCGTGCGATGGGATTAGCTGGGTGAATGGCGACAGGGGCTGTCCCAGATCCCCAGCTATCGCTTTCAGGAACGGCAATCACCTCACGATTCACTGCAGTGGTCTGTCTCGGGCAGGTGCGCGGGTATGAGTTTCGGTGTGAATGGCGTACCGCACTCGGTAAGTATTACACGCTTAATCAACTCGGGATAACGCCAACAATTCATCGAGAAACAGTTGAGTTTCAAACACGGATGTTTTCAAGTCTTGCTTGCAAAGCTCGAGGCTTCGGTGCCTCTGTGCGCCGCTGCGGGGCATCTGCACAAAAGCACGCGAAGCCACGAGGCGCCCGCCGGACTGGACCGGCCGTCATCATCGGTGGATCCCGTCCCTCCCCACACACGTCGGCGCTCGAAAGACCCGGACTCGACGTTTCAAGCTTTCAGCTCGGTGCCCTCTTCGCGGGCCGTTGAGCGGGAGCTTTCATCGTTGTGGCCAAGTGTGAATGGAAACGTTGGCGATATCGGTAGGTCCTGTTGGTCTTTCCATGGCTCAAGCTAACCCGCCAACTTCCCAAGTGCCAACGTCCTCGGGAGTTGTGAACAATGGCATTCATCCTTCGAGTTGATACTCCGGTTTTCGAACTGATATCAAACCGGACCAAGAGGCAGGTACTGTATCATTGAGTGATGCGGCGCCCGAACGAACAACAACATTCCCAGCGTCGATCATGCGCAAGAAGAACCCCTAGGAGCCTTTGCGTTCCTGATAAAGCGGACGGGATCGACAGACGTGCGTTGCATATGGGCTTATGCGAAACATTTGGGCCCGCGGCGTTCATCCGAATGGCTTTGCACCGCATTGTTGACGTAGGACCTACGAAGTAACTGTGCGTTTCTGGAATAGAGTTTGGAGACGATACACGGATGGTATTGGCTCGGCATATGGTTGGAGATCGGATCTATATTCCATCTGTTATATCGTCTTGGTAAGACTTTCCACATGTCTTCAAACCTCATTGCGCATAGTCTACACGGGATAGGCTTTAATCGGGTTCCAATGCGATGTCGTTTCCGATAATCTCATGCTCGAATATATCATTCCGTGGGTATCATCAGTCGTTGTCCATATATCCTACAATCATCATGCCTTCTTCGCCGCGGCACTATCTGCAGCCGTGGCCTTTGCCTTATCCTTCTTCGCAGCCGCCGTCTCCTTCTTCACGGCCGGCGCCTTCTTCGCAGCCGTCGTTGCCTTAGGCGCTGCACTCTTCTTCTCCAGAATAGTATTCCCCGCCGCCCTCATCCGGTCCTTATACTGTCTCGGGCTCTCGATTTCCCTCCTCCTCCCCAATCCAAAGAATCCCGTCAACGTATTCGCCCACATCCCCTTCCCCTTCCCCCTCGCGGCCGCCTCAGCATTCTTATACACCTGCTCCATCTTGGGCCCACCAAACTCCGCGCCCGTCTTGGCCTCATACGTGGTCGCCAGCCCGAGCTTGAGCATTTCCAGCCCGACGTCTTTGCGCAGGAAGAAGGGCGGTTTCCGAACAAAGACGGTCGCGACGACCCGGTCGTATTGGTCCTTACGGTATATGCGCGCCCACACCCGCTTGCCGAGGATGTAGCTTCGGAGCCATTGCAGGGCTTCGCTCGAGTAGGGTTGCGCGGGCCGGCCGAAGTGGGCGCCTTCTGGGGCGTCGATGCCTGCGATGCGGATGGGGATCTGAATGTGTAGGCGCACGTGTCAACACTTTATCGCCGCTCTTTCATTCATATGGCACCTCTCATAGTAGTTAGAAACAGCGCAAGAGAAACTAACCGTTCGATCCTTCAACTCCTTCCTAACCGTCGGCACCCTGCGCAACCAGCCCCACCCCGCCAACCGTCCGCCGGGCGTGTGAAAGAAATGGAAGTTATCGCCGTCGCCCACGCTCGTCACCTTGCCCAGCAGCGTGCGCCGCCGAAAGAAGCCGGGCGAGATATATGCGGTGCCGCGAAAGCGGCGGAGAAACGAGCGCCAGATGCCGAAGAGCGCGAAGGCGCCGATGGTCGGGAGCGTGTACAGGACGATCGATCGTGGCTCTTGGTAGTGCTGCCAGTCGATGAGCGTCCAGAGCGAATCGTTCCATGAGATGGCTTTCTTTTTTAGTTGGGGCGGGATGGGTGGTATGTCTGCTAGGTCTGCGGGCGCACGCTCGGTCGGACGAGGAGGAGGGGGAGACATGCTGTGGATGCCATGATTGCTGTTGTTGGCGCTTGTTGGTGTTGATGTTGAGGAAGAATTGGTTGAAGGAGAGGGTGATGACTTCCCCTCATCCTTCCCACTGTTTGTGGTAGGCGATGCCCACAGACCCCATGGCATCGTCAAGAGCTGGGGGAATGGGGAAAATGGGGAATCGGTGATGTGTCGGTCGCGATGCGCGTTCCTGCGTTATGCGCTATGACGAACGGGTTGGGGCAGGATTTAAGGGACTCAGTGCACGGTCCTCATTCCCCAATCCCCACATTGCTTTGGCGGGGATTGGCTCCTCTTTTGACAGCAGCGCCAAGGTCCTCCAGCTGACTTGGTCCCCTTCCCTTTCTGTTCCCAACCACCGACCGCCCTCTTGTTGAAGCCAAGTGATCAATCATGGGGTCACGTCGCTCATGATCAGTTCGTGACTTGTCTCATCTGAGAAGAGCGATTCGCTACATTGGCTGTGTCCATCTGTAAAGGCGAGTGGCCGCGCCGCCTGTTTATCACTACTCGAGGGCTGTCGTTAGCGGCAGCTCCCTGACAGGACTCGGAGGCTGGGCTGGAAATGTCAAGCTTACCTAGCATGTAAGGGAACGTGATCTTTGACGATGACATCGCGGCTTTGAAGTTGCTTGCGAGTCGGGATTTTGATCTTGAGTTTATTCCCTAACCGCCTTCTCGAAGTCTTCGGAGGTGTGACAGACTGGAGACCGATGCTGATGCCGCCGACAAATTGTTCGTTTTTCTACACGTTGTGTTACTATAAGTTCATTACATGTTTATACTTACGGAGTCGAGGGAAACTCAGGATGAAGAAAGGGTAACTTGAAATTCGATACCACTCAGGGCTTCACCCCAACACAGAAGCATACTCCCTCGCAAACTCCACCATATCTCGGAAGTTAGCTTGACTCACCTTAATCACTTCATTAGGATCGATAAGATCCATAGTCTCTGCCTCCTCGAGCTCGTCATCATCATCCCCATAATTGTCGACAAGGTTTACCTTCTTCTCAGCAGCTGATGAAGCTTCACTCCCCCACTCACTCTCTCCGCCTCTCAAAGGAATCCCCGAAGAAGCCTCCTGGATCTTAGCCAACAGCTCTCTAGTAAACTGAACCCGTCCCCTAATCTCATCGATAGCCCTATCCGTCGTCGCCCTCTTGAGGGCGCAACTCTCGCAACACCTGTCGACCCGATACGTAGAAAGTGGATGCGTCCACATGACGTTGCACCCTTCGTCGGTCTTACCTTGGTCGAAGTTGCGCTCCGACTGGCACTTTTTGGCTATTCCTAGCCAGGTGAAGTGGCCGCATTTGCGGTAGATGAGACGGTGGTGGATACACATTTTTGGGGGTGTTGTGTTGTTATCGTTTGGTAGTGTTGGTAGGTGCGTAGGGGCTTGTGGTCGAAGGGGGTTGCGTTGTTGGTATCGATCCAAGGGATGAAGATGTTTGGCACACACGGTGTTGGCGGTGGGCATTGCTGCTTGTTTAAATATTTTTTGGCTGATGGAATGAGATTCTGGTACAATGTTCCAGCACAGGACGAAAACAAACCCACGGTGCTTTTATCAGTGATAATGTTCGGAACAGAGAAGAAATCAGTTGTGATGTGTTCAGGAGACAAAGACTTTGTGTTATCAGAATTGATGGTGTCATTGACCGGTCAGAGAAATGAGAACAATGAAAAATTGTGGGCAAACACACAGGTAATAAGTTCTAATACTCATTATTGATCAAACATCAAGAGTCTATGGGGAAGGCTTATCATTCGTTTTCCTTGGCTCTATGGTTCAAACACAGTGGATAACATAACTAAACAAAGTTCTGACTTGTCATTGGTACCATAGTCTAACAAACATAGACTGAACAAGGATAAGTATATCTGCCGCTTCATCTCATTCAAGAGTTATACACCCGATTATCAAATTTGCGCTCAACCTAAAATCTTGCTTCCCAAAACCTCCTCAAAATCTCTCGCCCACGCCAACTTCATACCCTCCCGACTCTCCGACACATGCGGCACCTCGAATCCCAACCTCTGCAAAGTCCCCAATAACTTGCTCTTCTCCTCCTCGCCCTCATTCACCACAACGATCCCCGTATCCGCTCTCAACAGACACTCCAAATCCGTCACCGAATCGCCGAAGTACACGCTCCCACACTTTTTGCTCTCCCCATCCGCCTCATCCAGTAGTATCGTCTCAAACCCCTCCAGCTTATCCCTAGCAGTCATCATCACCTTCCCTCCCATCTCCTCCGGTCCTTCCAGCTGTCCGCCAGGCCACTTGACTTCGTTGACCCTCTTGACAAACTCACTCCGGTCCGGATCTTCTGGCTCAATCACCCCTTCAACGAACGCCCTGGACCAGTTCACGCTCACTATCCCCAACTTTTCTCCTCTCTCTTTAGCTTGTTGCACAAACTCCGAGAACCCTCTCCTCATTATTACTGCCTTCCCTTCATCTCCGTCCCAATCTGGATTCCGTCCCTCGCCATTCCGTCTGGCTTCCCTCCCAAATCCCTCCCATTGTCCCTTCTTCAATCCGGCAAAGAACCCTGCGTTGACTACCCTCTCCGCACTCGTCACTTCGACGGTTCTTAAGCTCTCCAGATACGCCAGCTCCTGCGCCAAGGTTTTTCTGTCATCGACTCTGGGGACGTATGACTCTTTGTGCTTTGCGTAATCAGCAACGTAGAGGTCGACTATTTGCTTCCACTTTTCGGAAGCCTCTTGTCGAGAGCGGCTGGGACTGCGAGCGGAGATTGCGAACTGAGCGAGGACGTTGATAGTGTCTTGGTGGGTGACGGTACCGTCGAAGTCAAAGACTATGAGGCGAGCCATTCTTTGGGTAAGGTTGCGGGTTATGCTTTGATGAGCGGTTTTCCAGAAGGGCATCGAAAAGGGAATTGTATTGGATTGGAATGAAGTGAATTTTGGTTTTTGGTTGTGGTATCCCAATTTGTCGATAATGCAAGTTGTAAGTTAGAGGAACTGTAACCAGGAACAAGAGGAAAGTGCAAGCAGCCAGTTGTATTAACTGGCCAGTTAGAACATCGCTGATTAACAGAGGGCCCCACTTCATTTATGGATAATGTAGTTGACATGAGACAGTCGAGGGAGTCGCCTAAGGTGTTGTGCCATCGTACACATCGTAACTAACGCTTGAAATATGAGAGCATTTGCATGACCCACAGCTGCAACGCTTTGAAGAAATTGAAGGATAAAATACCCCAAAGTGGAAAATCGGCTTTTGTTAAGTGATGCAACGGGTATCATTGTATGAGTATGGTCCTAAAGACCGTTCGTCTTGCGAGCAAAGGAAAAAAACGCAGCAAACCCAGTCTACCCAAAACGCCTGACGCAAAGCAAGTAAATGGGTCAGAAGAAAGATAGCATCCATCAAGACCCTGCTTAGTCCTGCCATCTTAGAACAGGACGTCCTCCATCTTGATATCGTCATCGTCCTCATCCTCGGATGCGATTTCGGGTTTGGGTGCCGCTTCGTTGGTTGGTGCCGGCAGGTCATTGTCAGAAATCATACTCTGGTATTCCGGCTTGAGAGACCAGTGATTTGCAAAGGTACCCGTTCGGTGAATAACGGCAATCTTGTCCAAGCACTCTCGAATGAAGGCCTCGGGCTGAGGAATTCGAGAACGCAGTGCCTTGATGGACCAGTACATGTAGACGGAGAAGCATTTGGCGAGCTCGTCGAGGAGCTGGTTCTCGGGCCAGCGAGCTGTCTTGTTGTCCATCTTCTTGGCCTTGCTCGGAGCCTCGGTCGTGCGCTATTGTTTGATATTAGTGAAAGCTCTAGTGGTAATAATTCTTCAAGAACACGCACCAAGAATGTTTCCCAACCTTTGGGATCCGTAATACCATTGGGTGGTAGACGATCCAGGACCTGTACTGTATGTTTGGGAGCCGTCTGTTTCTGGCCTCGAGCAGCAAGCGCATAGTCTGTCTCGGGATTCTCCAAAGGAGTGGCGACCACCTCGCGCTTGATTGTTGCTGCAATCGCTGTTTGTTCTGAACTCTAAAGTTAGCACCTATCAGGCAGGCCAGCTGAGGAATTGGGTATGACGAACTCGGAATGGCCTTCTTGGTGTACTGCTGTCCCTTCTTTCCGCGCTCCTGAGGCGGTTCCGACTGCTTCATCTGCTGGCGCACAAGATGTGCAGGTATACCCTGAGCTAAAGCCTCAGCCCGTTCCTTGTTCTTGGCGGCATAACTTGGGTGGTCGTGTTCACCGAAGATGAAGGTGTTGTTGACGTTGGCATCCACCATGTCGAGGTTGTATTCCTTGGGAATATCGTAGTGCTGTGGAAGATCGTCGAGGAGAATTTGTAGCTTCTGAAAGCCCAAACATTGTCAGTAAACCTATCAAAAACAATAGTGCCCATGACGGGATGCTGGTACTGACCTCCGGTTGACCATCTTGTACAATTCGACGAACTTTGCCGATCTGAATCTCTGCATCGTCGGGAAGCGAAGCCCATGCTTGCCAGACATACCCCGGAAGGCGAGCCAGATAGGCGTTTTTCAAAGGAAAATCATTGGGATCGTAGAACCCCAAGTCGGCTGATTCGTCCAGCTCGTCTTCGGCGAAGGCTGCGTCCGGGTCAGGCTTGATTCTCATGGGATCGGCCATGGTTGAAGTTGGTCGCTGTCACAGAACTAGAGGATATCGATATGTGCGTAAAATGGTCTTTTCGTTTGTTGGTTATCGGCGTCTTGTGGTAGCGTGGACCGAAAGTTGGGGCGTGATTGTCGTGGTTGTTATTGAAGAGGTTGCCTGGTTGAAAGCAGCCGCGAGCGTCAACGTCAGGACAAAGACCGTTGTACCTGGGGTACGTACCTTTATAATATTATGTAAGCTGCTACTTGAGCCTAGCGCGACCCGCTCTCCCGCAAGTGAAGCGGCTAGTGGGGTCTTTGATGACAAGTACCCTTGTACCTCTTTCAGTGAAGGTTGACTCTGGTGCTGGTGAAGGCGCCTGTGTTCAAGTTTCTCTGAGGTGGGTTTGTCCCAAACTTGGAGTCTCAAAGGTACAGAACTCGGCTGTCTACGGGCGCGTTCTCGTTCGTATCCAGTGAGTTTTCTGGCACAAAGAAAGGAGTTGGCTTGCTGCCAGGAGTGGTTCTTTTTGGGAACAAGTTGGTGGCTGATTAGGAGGAAAAGCTACCTCTAACTACGGGACGCACCAAAAAATCCAAGTATTGATACCTTCCCAGGGTGTGTGAAGAATAAAGAATGCAACGGACTTCCGGCGGTCATTTGGCCCGCGAGGATTGCATTTATTTTTCACAATCTGCTTCCCTAGAGGTACTTGGTAAATATGCGCACAGTTCCCAATCTCCAGGTTCTGGTTGGTGGTGACTGGTGACGCATTGCTCCAGGGCCTTCTTTCTCTGATAGCGACCTTCGCTATCCCTGATTGGCTGATCTCTGGCGCATCCCCCCTCAAAAGATCACTGGCAGTTCTTCGCCGCCCTTGGACAACTGAACCAAAATCCTTCCCGTCTTGCATCCATCATATCTTTTGCGCGCCGCCGTAATCATCTCAACAACAACAACGTTATCCAATCGAACAAACGGCACCAGCAACATCGCGAACCTTCGTCGCTTTTGCCTTTCTTTGAATCACCGACAAAGAACGACTGCCCTATCGTGGAACATATACGAAATATACCGATACCATTGTAATATTGAAATCGCAGCAACAGCTACTCGTCTTGGCTCTTGGATTCGAACAGAAAGATATACAAGATGACAATGTCCCCCGAGGAACAGGAGCTGATGGAGAGGATCGCCCGCGTGGCCGGCCAAATCAATCAGCACAAAAATCAACAAGCAGGCCTTGTTCCGCCGCAGAGCAGCCACACACCACCGCATCACCGTACGTCCGTGGAGTCTCGAAACAGCAACCGTGCTAGTATTGACGGTCTTGAAGACTCAGGTTATTCTGGAAGCTGGCGTCATCAAAGAGGAGGCTACCCATACCCAACCCGCGCCCATTACACCAAGCCTGTCCACCGTCACAGGACTTTGGTGCTGAATGGCGCGTCTCAACAACAAGGTAAAGCCGGTCAGCCCAGCTCGGGCGCCACGTCGGACTCGTCCACGTCGTCCTGGGTAGCAAAGAACGACCGTCACCTTCAACTCATCAACTCGTCCATCTATCACAAGGGAGCCCAGGCTCGCACTCGGGCCATCGAGCAAACCCTGCGCCAGAAGCAACAGCAGAGAGATGATCTGGAACGGACCAAGTTGATCAACCATCTACACCGTGCTGGCAATCGCTCGGCAGCGGTACCAAACCAGTATGAACTAACCGTGCAGGGTATACGTTTTGCCGTTACGAAGAACGGAAGCAAACTCGTCAAGATTCCCGGTGCGTCGAAAACGCGGTCGCAAGCGCTGGCTGTGCCCAATACTCACCGTTTCACAGGCGATCTCAACTCGGGTCCGACCCCAAAAATGGCCATCGTAGGCGGTGTCAAGTTCTACCGCAGTAAGAACGGGAACTTGTACCGCCATGGAATTGTTAAAGCGCAGCGGTATGTGGCCCGGTCCCCTTTGAATCATCCGCTAACTCTAGCTTGTGCTAGGCAATCCGGCGCCGTTAAGAAGGTCAACGTGCCTTGCCGCAACTTCTCCATGACCGGTAACTCCAATTTTCCAGATTTCGGAACTTCAACCGACACCACGTCGAAACGACTGGGTCTGGTAAGTCCAAAGGATGTTTATACTGACATACACCCGCAGGTTCATGCACCAAAGGCCCCCGGTGCCGATACATCCACGACCCGGCCAAGGTTGCCGTTTGCAAGGACTTTCTCCAACAAGGGGAATGCATTAACGGTGACTCTTGCGATCTTTCGCACGAACTCTCCGCTGAACGCACCCCCACGTGCTTGCACTTCATTAGGGACAGTTGCACAAAACCTGACTGCAAATTCACTCACGCAAAAGTGTCTCCAGCTGCCCCGGTCTGCCGAGAGTTTGGCCTCTACGGCTACTGCGAGAAGGGTGCCAGCTGCACTGACCGCCATGTTTTCGAATGTCCCGACTTCAGCAACACTGGCGTGTGTAATACCCAGGGTTGTAAACTGCCGCACCGGGAGAGGGCGAGCGTATTGCGTAGGGCCAATGCCCGCGACGACGCGGAGATGGAGGATCTATCCAGCGAAGATGAATCAGTCGATAGCGATGATGTCGACTCGGACGAGGTTGACGAGTTTGTTGGCCAGGACGACGATCCTGACTTGGATTTCGCCGAGCAAAAGGACTTCATTCAGTTTTGATTGGTGCGGTCCTGGCTCATCTGTTTTGGTCCTTGGTTTTTCCTAAGCCTTGCCGGCTTATTGATACCCTTTGATGTTTCTGTTTTTCTGTTGCGCAACCCGCTACATTTTCCGGGTTGGCAGTGGGTAGAGGAGGATAAGAAGAGTAAAAAAAAGGAGGGAAGAGAAAAGCAAAAGAAACAAGAGAAAAGAAATTTCCAAAGGTTGGGGGGTTTTCACTTCGAAGAACAATCTAGACTACGCACTTGTTAGAGTATAGATAATGGACAGCAAGATCGCACATGATATCGGACTGTGATTCAAGAATGATCCCGACGTAAGCTCTGAGCAGGTACCGCGAAATGTTATCCTGATCGTCCAATGGCTGATGAGAGTTAGTCTGCCGAAAGCTTAATAGCCACACCATTACTCCCTTTCCTTCTTCATCCGGGGCCGGAGTATCATAGATTACCCCGCATTCGCAACCTTACCCCCATGCTCTCCGCATGAATATTTGTATACTTTCGCCGCTGAATAACAAGAGTGTAACGATGCCTTTTTTCTGGGCTTCCAAATCATTATCTCGAGGTAACTCGCCGCTTACTTAATGTACACGTATATAGATCAGCACCTGCAGATATCCCACTCTCCACCATGGAACTAGTCTCATGATCTTTCTATACTGTGTAGGTTCCACCTACTCTTCCGCACTACATATTTCACGCCTCAAAAGTGATCTCTGTAATTGTTTAGTAAGGACTAAGGAGCACTGGGTCTAGGCTACGTCGTACTACATACACACAGTCCAAGCACTGTCATACACATCCCACATTCTCGGAATTCCAACGAGAACCACTCATATTGTCAGACGTATATGAGACGCTTGCATCGAACACTGTAACGTAGATCTAAGGCCAGCGGCCGCCGTGCGGTTCGGTTGAGCAAACCCGGTACCGAACTGTCCAAGGCCGACAAAGGGGTTTTCGAATGAGGGGTAGGAATTGATAATTGTCGGCTCATGTTGTATTGGTGATATATATATATAGAGTGATGGAGACAAATACCTTGGCTGCTGGTCTGACTTCTGCTTTGAGGTTGGCGATCTAATACACCCTTTGACAAAAACAAACACATCGCAATAAGTACACACCACTCAGCAGACATGGCGACAACTACGAACGGGCACATAAACGGAGATGACCCCAAAACAAAGTTCACACTTAAAGACTCACCGGTGGAAAATCTTAGGCCGTTGAGGGTGGTCGTCATTGGCGCAGGGTATAGTGGGATTGGGGCGGCGATTAGGTGAGCAGTCTACGCTTCATCCCATTGAAAGATAATTGCATGACCGAATAGATACACTGACAAATATGGATGTGCTGTGAAGGATACCAGAGAAGCTCCGAAACGTCGAGCTAGTGGTTTATGAAAAATACGAAGGCATTGGAGGAACATGGTAAGTTCCACGCTTTCCTCATGGACTCCCGTCCTCAGGGCAGTCACCAGGCAACAAGAAGATACTAATACTGCGAGAAACAAACAGGTGGGTGAACACATATCCAGGTATGGACGACCTCGTCATGATCCCCCCAAACAGCAGCAGGAAACCAAGCGAATGATGAACTAACCGATAGTAAACGAATAAAAAAGGCGTCGCCTGCGACATCCCCTCCCATTCCTACCAATTCTCCTTCGCTCCCAACCCGAACTGGTCCAACCTCTACGCGCCGGGCCACGAGATCCAGAAATACCTGCAAGACGTGGCCGAGAGATTCGGAGCGACGAGGTTCATCAAGTTATCGCATAAAGTGGAGGAATGCGTCTGGGATGATGGGGAGAAGAAATGGTCAGTCAGGACTGTTCTCCTCCGAGCCGAATAATCATGCTGACAGACAGCGACCGGAAAGGCAAATCAAAGTCAAGAACCTGGTTACCGGAGAGGTGTTTACCGATTCGGCACACGTGCTCATTACTGCCCGGGGCCAGCTTAGCGAGCCGCGATGGCCGGATATTCCGGGGATTGATAAGTTTGAGGGGAAGAAGATGCATTCGGGGGCTTGGGATAAGAGGTGAGGAATCGTCTGAGTGACATTTTGGAGGCAGTATTGAAAAAGGTACCGTGCTGACTGAAGACACAGTTACGACTTGCGCAACAAGAAGATCGCTGTTGTTGGTAACGGTTCCAGTGCCATTCAGATCGTCCCAAAGCTCCAGGAGCTCGAAGGAACGACGCTCTCATGTTTCATACGATCACCAGTCTGGATCTCGTCAGCTTTTGGGGATGGCACCATGAAAGACCTAGGACTAGATCCCAAAGTAACCGAGTGTAAGTTGTCATCTTGTCTGAACCACAACCCCATCAGCGAACAACAGAAACTAACAACCCACAACACCACAGTCACCGAAGAACAAAAAGCCCTCTTCCGCTCTGACCCCTCCGCCCTCCTCAAATTCCGCAAAGCCTTCGAAGACTTCGGCACCTCCCTCCACAACTCGACGATAGCGGGCCACCCGATGAACATCGAGAGCCAAGCCTTCTTCAAGGCAGACATGGAATCCAAGCTCTCCGGGCGTCCCGACCTGCTCGCCAAGATCATCCCAGCCTTCGCCCCCGGCTGCCGGCGCCTCACACCGGGGAAAGGCTACCTCAAAGCCCTCCAACAACCCAACGTCACAACAATCCACGATCCCATCTCGCACATCACCACCACCAGTATCGCGCTCACCACAGAAAAACAAATCGACGCGGACGTGATCGTCTTCGCCACCGGCTTCCAAGCCTGCACATCCCCTCCCTTCCCCATCATCGGCCGCGCCGGCCTCACCCTCGCCTCGCGCTGGTCCCAACACCCAGACTCCTACCTCGGCGTGGCCGTCGACGGGTTCCCCAACTACCTGATGCTGTTCGGCCCCAACACGACCATCGGGTTCGGCAGCCTGAACCGGATCCTGGAGGCGCAGGTGGACTACGTCGTCTCGGTAATCCGCAAACTACAAAAAGAGGATTACGCGTCCATGGAGCCGAAGCCGGAGCGAGTGCGGGACTTTGTGGCCTTTGTGGATGCCTACTTTAAGGATACGGTGTACCTGGATAAGTGCAAGAGTTGGTATCGGAGTGAGGGTGGAGTGGGGGATAGGATTGTGGCGCTGTGGCCCGGGTCGACGCAGCATGCTGTTGAGGCGCTGAGGAGTCCGAGGTGGGAGGATTGGGTTTATGAGAGCGCAGACAGCAGTGGGAATGGGTTGAGGTGGTTGGGGAATGGATGGAGTTGGACGCAGATGGAGGGCGATCCGAGTTGGTATCTGAATCCGGAGGAGATTGAGTTTCCGTGGGAGGGGAAGCCGGAGGAGAATCCGAAGTATAAGTCGAGGCCGTGGTCGCATTGAGGGCGCTGGTGGTTGTAGGAATTGTCTAGTTGAGGATAGTCAGCTAAGGGTTATCATCACTTACCTTCGGCCTGTAGCAACCTTGCAGTCTACCCCAAGTATATCCAACAGGCACAAGATCAAGGCCGTCAGAGAGACAGAGTAAAATGATTAGTATAGTGATTAACATTGTTGTCTGTATTGGATAGCTGTAAGTGGTCATCTTCGGCCGCCTTTGCCGATAGACTGACATGAGTAATTTCAAGTAAAGGCACCGTAACGTGATACACAAACCGCTGCATGAACTCCTTAAGCGCCTGCCTTGAATGTCCTTCCACTCGCTGTCTTCTTCTCCTTAGGTTCTTCAGTATCGGGCCTGGCTCTCCGGAGAACCTGGAGGAAGTCGGCGGTGCGTTTCCGCATACGCGAGTGGATATAAGCCTGGGACGAGATGTCAGAAGGAGATCTCTGCCCATCACATTTCCCAATGCACTTACCTTGGAGGCCTTGATGTGATAGTGGAAGTAGTCACGGAAGGTCTGGATATGGGAGATAACATCGGGCATCCGCTGAGGAGTGAGATGGCGAGGGAACAGGACTGTTTCTGTTAGTCAAGCCCACACACGGCTTATCTTGTTGGGCAACATACCAAACGTGACATAACCAATCTCGCCTGTACCGGTATTCTTGACCCCAGGAACATTCTGCAGCTCGAGAGGAGGATCGTTACGGAACAGCACCTGAGGGGCGTTCTGGATCGCTCTGCGCCGGGCATCGACGAATTCCTGGATGAAGACCTTGCCGAATACTCTGTCCGTTTCTTCCCTAAAGATGGTGCTGAATATGACGGTCACACGGTCGTGGCTGGCCTTGACGTAGATGGCCTCCTCTTCTCGGTACTGAATAGCCTTGACCTCTTCACCCTCACGGACACCCTGTGGCGCCTCCTCGGATGTGAACTTGGATGCCTCCTCCTTCAGGGCGTAGTGTTCCTGGTAGGCCTGCTCGAAAGGCGCAGCCATGGCATTGCGCTTCAACAAGGCAATCTTCATGACAAGGGCATCGCGGGCCTCCTGTTCGGCGGGGAGGTTCTCGAGGTCGACCTGGATGGAAAAGTCATAGCCGGGCTCGGGAGGGACAACGAGATCGCCATATTCGCGGTTGAGGACCTGCTCAGCGCCGTAGCGAACGAGATCCGGGAAGCATCGAATTTGGAGAGAGACGAGGATCTTGGTCTTGGATTCGGGGGTGGAGATGTGGAAGACGACGCCGTCAAAGTCGGAGACAGTCTGGTCGATGTTGACGGGGGAAGCTCTGGAATGCGCGGTGACGGCGGCGGTAGCGTCAGTGCAAGTTCAGGGGCGGACAGGCGCACTGCGCGTTCGGGCTGGAAACTTGGTAAACATACCCAGGAGCGAAACGCTCGGTGAGCACCGCCTGGATCAGGACGTTCTGGTAGTCGAGCAGCAACATGGTGACTGCAATTCCTCGTGTATATATCCGGCGCCGTCGAGTTGTTGAAGCCGGGTCGGGTCAGTTGCGTTGGTTCAAGTGTCGGGGGTGGGGCCGTGATAGGTAGGTAGCTATTAGAGCGGTCACCTCAGCACGGGCGGGCAGTGCTACAGAGCAATGGAAGCAGCAGCAGCTGGAGGTCGGCCAACAAGGTCAGGTCCTCGCTTCGGGGCATGGAAGGCTGGCTGACGTTGCTGGCTCCAGGCTTCAGCACTTTGGCTCCACTCTGGCGCCGGGAGACATGCCGCCAAGCCTGGAAATTGCCCCGCAGAACCCGTCCAGGCCGTCGACTGGGCAGGCAGTGGCTGATGGAAACGACCCAAGTTCTTATCTTATCGCTTGCCGGCGGGCAACGCCAAAAAAAAGTTCAGGGACGGCAACCCACTGCGCAGCGGCGACACGATTGTGATAGTGGACATTGAATCGCGAGAGACCTTGCGCATGTTATTTTGGAGCAGCATCTTGTATTAGTGGCTGTCCAATTGTCGCAAATATGGTCAAATCATACCTGTAAGTTCCGCGATCCTCCCATTCTTTGTCTCGCCTGATGACATCTCTAATACACACGGATACAACAGCAAGTTCGAGCCCTCCAAGTCCTTCGGCGTCGTCGCAACCAGCTCCTCGAATCTCGTCTGGACTTCCTCCAAAGACAAGTCTGGCACCGGCGCCGGCCAGGCCGTTGTCGCCGCCAACAATGAGGTTCTAACCTGGGATATCAAGAAGGGCGAGCTCCTCAACCGCTGGAAGGACGAGAACTGCAAGGCCCAGGTCACCGCCATCGCCCAGAGCAAGACCGATCCCGACGTATTCGCTGTCGGCTACGAAGACGGCAGCATCAGGCTGTGGGATAGCAAGATCTCCACCACCATCGTCAGCTTCAATGGACACAAGTCGGCAATCACGATACTGGCCTTCGACAAATCGGGAGTGCGCCTGGTCAGTGGCGCAAAGGATACAGATGTAATCGTATGGGATTTGGTCGCCGAAGTCGGCCAGTACAAGCTACGGGGACACAAGGATCAGATCACAGGACTGCGATTTATCGAGCCCGAGCCGCAAATACCCGAGGGCGGCGACGACGAAGAGCAGGCCATGGTCCTGGACAATGAAGCGACAGAAGGATTCCTCTTGACGACCGGCAAGGATGCGCTCATCAAACTCTGGGATCTGTCATCACGGCATTGTATCGAGACCCATGTGGCGCAGAACAGCGGCGAGTGCTGGGCGCTCGGTGTTTCACCTGACCTGAGCGGATGCGTCACAGCTGGTAACGACGGCGAAATGAGGGTATGGGCTTTGGATGTAGCAGGACTCGCTTCTTCAGCACGCAAGGTCGATCTCTCGCAAGCAATCAACTTCCTCCACGATCGCGGCACACTACATCGTTCGAGCAAAGAAAGGGCCGCCGAGGTCATCTTCCACCCCCGTCGCGACTATTTTGCGGTACATGGCGTCGAGAAGTCTGTCGAGATTTGGAGGATACGAAATGAGGCCGAAATCAAGAAGAGCTTGGCAAGGAAGCGCAGAAGAAGAAGGGAGCTGGCTGCGAAGAAGGGCAAGAAGGAGGCGGAGGCGGAAGAGGAGGACGACAAGGCCGACGATATCTCAAAAGCAGACATCTCCGACGTCTTCGTGCAGCACGTTATCGTTCGTACAACAGGCAAGGTTCGGTCGGTCGCCTGGGCCCTTAGTCAAGGAACCAAGGATCTCCAGCTCCTTGTTGGGGGCACCAACAACCTGCTCGAGACATATACGATTGTTGGAAAGGATAAGCTCAAGTCCAAGGGTGATGCGCCAGACTACAACAAGGCGCTTGCGGTAGAGCTTCCCGGACACCGAACAGACATTCGTGCCCTCTCCATCAGCTCAGACGACAAGATGCTGGCTTCGGCAGCAAACGGCTCCCTCAAGATCTGGAACATCAAGACCAACACATGCATCCGGACATTCGAGTGTGGCTACGCTCTCTGTTGTTCCTTTTTGCCTGGCGACAAGGTGGTTGTGGTTGGAACCAAGGAGGGCGAGCTTCAGCTTTACGATGTGGCTTCGGCATCTCTATTAGAGAGCGTCAACGCCCACGAGGGCCATGCCATCTGGTCACTACAGGTTCACCCAGACGGCAAGTCCGTTGTCTCTGGTGGTGCTGACAAGACAGCCAAGTTCTGGGACTTCAAGATCGTTCAGGAACAGGTTCTTGGCACGTCAAGGACAACCCCCAAGCTCAAGCTTGTCCAGTCCAAGATTCTCAAGGTATCAGACGATATTCTGAGTCTCAGGTTCTCCCCCGACGCGAAGCTGCTTGCTGTTGCTCTTCTCGACAGCACTGTCAAGGTCTTCTTCGTCGACTCCCTCAAGCTTTACCTCAATCTTTACGGTCACAAGCTGCCCGTCCTCAGCATGGACATCTCCTACGACAACAAGCTTATTGTCACAAGTTCCGCCGACAAGAACATCAGAATCTGGGGTCTCGACTTCGGTGACTGCCACAAGGCCCTCTTCGGTCATCAGGACTCCATCCTCCAAGTCGCTTTCGTTCCTCACAACTCGGACGGCAACGGCCACCACTTCTTCAGTGCCAGCAAGGACCGCACCATCAAGTACTGGGATGCCGACAAGTTCGAGCAGATCCAGAGGATCGACGGCCACCACGGCGAGATCTGGGCCATCGCCGTCGCTCACAGCGGCCAGTTCCTCATCAGCGCCAGTCACGACAAGAGCATCCGCGTATGGGAGGAGACCGACGAACAGATCTTCCTCGAGGAAGAGCGCGAGAAGGAGATCGAAGAGCTGTACGAGAGCACACTCACCACCTCTCTCGAGCAAGATCCCGACGCCGAGGACGAGAACCGCGAAGTCGGCGCCGCGTCCAAGCAGACGGTCGAGACGCTCATGGCGGGTGAGCGCATCGCCGAGGCGCTCGAGCTCGGCATGGCCGACCTCAACGCCATCAAGGAGTGGGAGGAGGCCAAGCAGCAGAACCCCAACGTGGCGCCGCCGCAGCGCAACGTGCTCTTCATGGCGCTCGGCAACATCAGCGCTGAGCAGCACGTCATGAACGTGCTGCAGAAGATCAAGGCGTCTGCGTTGCACGACGCCCTCTTGGTCCTCCCTTTCGCCACCGTCCCCATGCTCTTCACCTTCCTCAACATCTTTGCCATGCGCTCCATGAACATTCCGCTTACTTGTAGGATTCTGTTCTTCATGCTCAAGACCCACCACAAGCAGATCGTGGCGAGCAAGACGATGCGCGCCATGTTGGATGGCATCCGCACCAACTTGCGTGGTGCGCTCAAGCGCCAGAAGGACGAGATGGGATACAATATTGCGGCGCTCAAGGTCGTGGGCATGCAGTTGCAGCATAAGAGCGTGAAGGATTATGTTGATGAGAAGTGGGAGGAGGAGAATGAGGAGAACAAGGCGGTTAAGAAGCGTGCTTTCGTGCATGTTTCTTAATTGTCTGGTGGATGGGGTTGGTGGCGAGAGCAAAAGCCAACATGATAGGTGATGGAAAGGTGGAGGAAGAAGGGTAGTAGAAGTAAGAGGAGTAGAAGGGCTCAAGGGGAGCACAAATCTGTGCAGCACATACATAACATACATACGGTGTCTGACATAGAGGAGAGGCAATGGTGGATGGTTGTTGATACCGTTCCTCTCAAGTGGTAAATAGGGCAACGTTTCTTATTTTGGAGTTGGAATCTAGTTTAAAACGGCATTGCATATTTCTTTCTTTCCTTTGATGTTCCGAGTCCCATGTCTTTGCCTGTGTCCATCAACGGAAGTCCTTCTTCACCTCAGCTTCCGGAGTAGAAATGCGTGACATGGATGTCTTTAGACGGGGTCGTCTTTGTAGTGCCGCAACCTGATTACCCACCACCCGTCATCCATCGTCCATCTTTCCCTTCATCTTCCCCCCCATTCACATTCCATCTTCCACATCCCATCCTCCCAACCTCCAGCCTTTCACCTTCTCATCCTTTGATCCTCCCATCCCCAACATACCCTCTCATCCTTCAAAACCCAACCTCCCATCTTCCCATCTTCCCATCTCCCATCTCCCTCCCCTTCCACATCGCCTCCCTCCCCTGTTCCCCCTCCCCTTCACCCCTCAATGTCAAGTGTCAGCCCAACCAACTCATCCCCTACATAACACAACACCTAACTTCAACCCCTGGATCCCCCCCGCTCGGTCCACCACCAAGCTTCACCCCCTTCTTAATCTTCGTAACCATCCTGACCTGGTTCCGATCATACACCCCTCTTAAATCACACTCCGGACACGGCTCGGCGCGGGCGATGTAAGCCGGGGGAGCGGGCTTGGCTACTAGCTGCTGGTGGTGGGGGCAGTTATGCTGGATTTGGTGGTAGGGGTAGGTCGGGAGGTTGATGTGGCAGGTGTTGTGGCCTTGGATTTGGAGTTGGCCTTGGCCTTGGGCTTGGATGGAAGGGGTGAGGGTCGGGGAGAAGGGAGGGGAGAAGGGAGAGGTGTGGTTGGGGGTGTAGTGGTTGGGGTGGGGATGTTGCTGGTAAGGGCAGAGGGGTTGGTGGCAGAGGCCGTCGGGGGATTGGTGGTGGTCGTAGAGGTAGTTGTTGTGGGTGTGGGTGTTGTTGAAAGAGAAAGAGGGACAGGTGGTGAAGCCGGCTCCTGGGAAGCAAGGAGTGGTGATGCGCATCCAGCGGTGCTTGCAGTGGGTGTCTTTGTAGAGGGTTGTTTGGCACATTTTGTATTGTTTCTCGTTGGTGGGGTGCTGCTGGTATAAAGAAGGTTGTGATGTTCAAGTTCTACTTCCGCCTCCCGAAGGGTGTGAGATGCGGTGGTATAAAGATTGTATGGTGAGGGGCAGTTGACTGGCTGGGTGGCGGTTGTGACGCCTTGCTATTAAGTTCTTTTCTGCTTTGCTTCTTAGGGAAGGCGCGATGGCGGTTGAGCAGAGTTGACTTTGACGGTTCGCGGTCGAGGACCTGCTTGACTAGGCGCCGCGAGATTCGAATGTTAGCGAGGAAGCGTTGAGAATGACTACTTGTAGTTGATTTGAAGATCGAGCGGGTGAAATTATTTTCCTGCGAAGGAGGGGGTGACTCTGGTTTGTGTGGGTGAACTATGCCAATGATCCGACGGAAAGGGCAGTCACTCACGAATTTCTCTGTGGCCTCGACTCGTGGATCATGGATATCGCGAGGATTGCGATGAGTTTAGTCATGTCGTCCAATGTCACAGGATACAAACGCGACAGCCAGTGTTTGGGACCGAGTGGTGGAATCGAACCCCAAACAAAATCAACTTGATCCATGTTGAGATCTTGGATAATCAGACGCTTACAGGCCCTCCGGCTGAGTGTGGGATTATGTTTCTAACAGTTCTTCACCCAGTCTTTGTTTATATTCCTATCAGAGTTGGAGGCGAGGAAGGGACGGATCGATGGAAACGACCAATTGTATATATTTGTGTTTTGGTTGGAGTTAACTACCTAATAATCCGGTTAATCCAAAATAAGGTACTCTTGATTGCATTTTCCGTCCCTCTACATCGTTAATTCATCAACCAATCGGTTCGTCATGCCTTGAGATTTACGCTGCTTGTTCCGGGTCTCTTCTCCCATTTTGTGGCCTTTATCCAACGGATGAATACCATGCTGTCGTTCCGTCTTGGCCCAGGCAGCTGTACCCATCATGACTCCTCTTCTGAAGCAGGGGAAGTAGGTGTCGACACTGGGGATGTGCTCTGGGACCGGCCTCTTTTTGTAGAATCCATATCTGCACTTCCGTCCTGCTGTGGCTTTTCATGGGTCTCATTTGAGACGTTGTTACCGTCCTCTTTGTCAGCTTCCTCGCTGGCGGAGATGTCTGCAGATGAGTGGTGTACCTGCTCCTCATCATGCTCCTCCTGATCCTGAGCCATCTCTTGGTCCACATCCTGGTCCATCTCCTGGTCTTGCTCCTGGTCCTGCTCCTGGTCCTGATCCTGGTCTTGATCCTGGCCCATCTCCTGGTCCTGCTCTTCCGATGCTGCTCCAGCCTCCGGAGATGATACCGACTCGGCAGGCCGCTTGTCAGCCGACTGTTCCTGGCCCTGGCTGTCCTGCACCGTATTCCTGGCCTCTTGCTCGGCCAATAACTGACCGGCTGGTGACGCTTCATCTGACTCGGATTGCGGTTCTTGTGCGTCCGATGGCTGTCCCGCAGGCTGTTGTCTCGGAGGAGTCACCGGAGGATTCGGGGCTGGACCGGAAGCCGCCGCCTGAGGCGGTTGGGTGCTGCCATTGACGCTTACAGGACCGGGGACAGGCTGAGGGGGAGCTGGTCCGGGCGGCCTAAAGTCTCTCGGCCCTGGAAATGGTGGCACTGGCACCATTCCCGGTGCTGGACCGGGAACTTGCCCCGGTCCGCCCGGTGCAAACGGGGGAGGTTGAGGCGGAAGGTTGGGAGGAGGCGCAGCAGGCTGCGCGTATGGAGGCGCCTGGGGTGTTGCATAATAGGGCGTGAATTGAGGAAACTGAACTATCATTGGCACCTGGAACTGTGGACCATATGTATATGGTGCCGGGTGGGCTCCCGGGTATGGCTGTGGCGGAGGTCCTCCTTGGTATGGTGCACCTTGATGAGGTGGGTATACTGGGCCTCCTGGGCCAGGTTGGGGATATGGCGGGTAGCCGGGGTGGCCCTGAGGAGGACCTGGCATATGGGGGGCTTGGTGCGGAGGACCATAGTGAGGGGGAGGAGGAGGAGGAGGAGGCTGGCCATAGCCATGCTGAGGATTGAATGGGGGCGGTCCCGGCTGATAAGGGTATCCTGGGGGCGGTTGATGATGAGCCACTTGCGGAGGATACGTAGGTTGTAACTGATGATACTGCGGCGGGATTTGGTTAGGCTTAGGCTGATAGGGGTTGAAAAATGGAGGGTGAGGCTGAGGCTGTGGAGGCTGAGGCGGTTGAGAGTAAGACGGCTCTCTAGGAGGACGAGGAGCATAGGGATGATGGTTCACCGTCCATTGGGCAGGAGGTCTGTCGAGTTGCTGACCAGGTTGTACAACGACAGGTGTGCGTGGCCCTGTCGGCGGCACCTGGGCAACGGGCGGTCTTGGAGCAGCCTGCGAGTTCACATTCGCCCCAGTGTGCGTGGAAGAAGCGGAAGAAATTGAGATAGCACGAGCAGGAGTATTCCTGGCGGCTCCGTCACGGTTCCCTTGCCCAGTCATGGTCACGCGTTGCTGAGATCCCCTCTGCTGTTGTGGTTGCTGTTGAGGTTGTGACTGTTCAGATCCTTCTCGAGATGCCGGTTGAGGTGCTTGCGGATTAACGATGAATTCAACACGGGCTCCCGGTCTTGGCTGATCGGAACCCGGGGAATCACCTGGAGCTGACTTGGGCAGCTCGATGCCTGTGCCCTCTAGGATTTTCTCGCGGGAATCCCACCAGCCTTGGATGGTTGGGATGGGAATCTTCCACCACTCGGAAGCCTCAACATAGGTAGGAGCACGATACCAGACCAGCTGTCCGTTGGCGTCGCGGGTCGCAGTTTGGGGGACGGGTTCCTGTTCGTGTGGCGGCTGGCCGATTCGACGACGAGGTGCCTTGCGTGGACGATAATCGGCAATTCGATGGTTCAGCAGGAATTGCAGAACCTCGATTTTGCGTTCCCTGGTATAAGAGCGTTCGACCCTTCTCACAGGCTTTGGGGCCGTCCAGGGACGTTCTGATATTGGTTTTGGAGCTGGGCCACGCTTCTTGGCCGGAACTCCTTTGGCGGTCAAGCGCACAACTGGGGGCGGCGGAGGTTTCCTGGGTGCCATAACCGCCGTTTTTATGTCGAAATTTAAGCAGTCTTCAAGGTGGCAAGACTGGTCATAGAGTGTGAAGAGAGCAGACCTGGTGCAGTACACCGACGCGTTGGCTCATGGTCGCCCGATCATAATCGTCGGTGGTCCGGTGGTGGTTTGGCTGCGTGCTTGCTTGTCCGGCGTTCTTACTGGTGGCGTGCAGACTACTCCAAAAGGAGTTAGACAGAGGAGATGGTGTCCAATCGACGGCTGAGCAAAGTGGGAACCAATTACGAATTTGCTTTGTCTCGCAGTTAGCTAGATGTGCGTCCACGGAGCCTGGGGCACGTACGCCTCACATTTAGTCAATTCAAAACAAACAGGTTGGTGAAGGTATCGATGAACAGTGTGAGAAGAGGTAGGTTAGCAAGCAGCTCGAGGCAAGTAATGGCTCTGCCCGTGTATGCAAACAGTTCGGCGAGCCTCTTTTCTGAGGCACTGAGGAGAATTGTCTCTGTGGGGAAAGGCGTGTGGAGACAACTTCATAGCGCAAATCTTGACTGGCTGAGCACGGGCAGCCACTTTCATGGAACACTGCAACTGCACTCATCAACATTCGGCAAAGCTCGAAAAAAGCTGAAGAGGTGCCCCGAGTTTCTATAATACACTCATGAATGAATATTTGTTACATCCGAATCTTTCATGTGTGAAGCTTTCATCGTAGCACGACGGATCCAAATTCAGCAACAATCGTACCGGAGTTGATAGCATGTCACTATAGTTGATACCTGATGAGAAGAGGCTTATTGATAACTGAGAAGAGGCTGAAGGGAACTTTGAGAGCAGATGACAGAGAAGGCGAAGATAATGGAGGCTTCATCACGTACTGCGCCTGCGAATGTTGTCATGAAACGCAACTGAAGTCGGGAAGACAGTGAGCGCGGACCAACCAACGCCCCAACTCCCAATGGAAGCCTCGTGCCGCGGGAGACCTGCCCCAAAAGGTTCCCCAGAGCCTCCAGCAAACCCCAAATATAGCGGCTAAGCCCCGCTATTTGTCCCACACAAGGGAGACCCTTACCCCCTTCGAGCGGTGCCTGGCTGCGGTGGAGGGGGAAGTTGGAGATGCCTGCCCTATGCCTGCGCCAGCCTAGAACAATTTGGACATTGGGGACCTCGTCCAATCTCCGCGTGTCGCGAACCGAACCCAGATCCCTCCCCGTCCTCGAACGATGCCTCCAACTCGCCGACGAGCTGAAAGACTGAAAGATTACGTCCTTTCCGATGGCGCCGGGCACAGAACCCCGATTTACACAAGCTTCTTCTCCTCCAAGTTCCCAGTCCGTGAATCTATAGTCAACAACATCACCGCCATCCCGACCGACGACATCTTTGTCAACCAACGCCTTCTTGGATATAACACCACCCGCTTTCTTTGTCGTCGTCTCAACTCCCGACCAACTTGAACGCCGCGCGGCGCTTACACATCAACAGTTCAGACAACAATCCTACCTACAACTACGCTTCGTATTCTATATCCCATTTTCCAACCGACTATATATCGATACCCGACACCATACTCTGCAATTGTAATCGTTACTGTATCTATACACTATCATGGGCCTGTTCGCAAAAAAGAAGCACAGCCACGAAGAGGGCGACTCCGAGACGCATTCCCCATCTCCCAATACGCACCTCGGTGCCCCCGAAATCACGTTCGTCCGTACCGATACGTTTACCGAGGAGACGATTTTTCCTCCTGCGAGCCCTATAACCGAGAATGATGCCGACCACGACTCGCACCTGTCCCCCGAGACGGCATCAGGAACGCCAGCAAGGGGTCGCCTTAGTCTGGACGTCTTCCGCAGCAATCGCAGTCGTAGTCAATCTATGAGCAGCAACCCCAAGAGCCCAACCGTTGCCAGGCGCATGTCACGATTCCATTTACACCGTAGCCCAGTGAGCTCCGAGAATGTGCCTCAGGATCTGCCGCCCGTGCCTGCTATTGTGGTTCCCGAAGGCGATGAAGATAAGGAGGGCAAAGAGGCTCAATGGGAGAAGCGCGCAACCATGTTGGCACGCAAAAACTCCGAGGCTCGCAGTCGCCCAGGAACCCGTCCGGCTAGCCCTACCCGCAGCGTTAGTAACGACTTTGCCCGTATGCGCCTTGGGAGTGTCAGTGGCCCTGCCGAAGCGGAAGAATGGCCTTTGAAGAACGAACCTGGGCCTGTCGCGCCTCCTCCGCCTGTAACCAAAGCTGTTTCGTCTAAAGCTATTGATGAAGATATCCAGCAGGCCATCAAGTTGCATGAAGAAGGAAACTTGGAGGAGTCCACTGCTCTATTTGGAAAACTGGCTGACCCGGAAGGGGCAAATAATCCCCTAAGCCAAGTTCTGTACGGCCTTGCTTTGCGGTATGTGCCTCCTTATCTCTTCCGCTCCGGTGTTCCATCCGTCTCTTGTGCTTGTTCGTAAGGCAGTGATCCGAGTGTGTTGCCCAGGATGTTCTGTTGCGTCTGTTGCGGCAATGGCTCTGTGACACATGACAACTGTATACGGGTGTATCTGTCCATCGCTAACGCGAATGCAGGCACGGATGGGGATGTGCCCCTGACGCAGCCAAAGCCGTGACATACCTCTCAGCAGCAGCCTCAAACGCCGCCGAAATCGAACAACTCGCTCTCCAGGCTGGGCTCAAGAAGGGCGGCGCAGCCAAAGGCGAGCTCGTCCTGGCCATATTTGAACTGGCAAATTGTTTCCGTCATGGCTGGGGTATTCCTAAAGACCCGATAGCCGCGAAACAATACTACGAGACAGCGGCGAATTTGGGAGATTCCGGTACGTCTCCCCCGAGCACCTGTTTCTAATGGTGGGCTAACACAGTTACCATGAAAAGACGCCATGAACGAAGTAGCATGGTGCTACCTGGAAGGATTCGGCACCAAAAAGGACAAAGTTAGTATTGCACACATCAACACGCCATCATCTGCGAACCACAATGTTTTCCTTTTCCCCGGACCAGCCTTGTGGGCTCTGGCTTTCTTGTACAACTATTGGGCATCAATGAGGCTTGGTCAGCAGGGCAATTCGGAGGGGAGATTCACCTCGGTTGACCGTTTCAAAGAGATATATCACACATAAGGCTGACCAACAACTCTCACTATCAGTACACCGCCGCAAAATATTACCGCCTGGCGGAGAAGAACGGAAACAAGATCATGGGTAATACATGGTAAGCGCTTTCATCTATTTTTTGCCCAGCATCAACCGCCTTCTTTCCCACCAACAACACCCCGACGCAACCCAATGACGACGGTTACCGAGTATCGGGACATTGCGAAGCCGCAAGCAGGGTCTCTCAGAAATGACTTGGGGACTGGCAATGTGACAGGGTGCTAGTACTTCCCTGGGTCATCAACGACCAAGCAACTCTGCTCGCCCTGTTTCTCACATGCTGTGGTGTTGTGCATTGCTTTTTGGCAGTCTCCTCTCAGCCGCCTCCTGAGGGAGTATCAGGTTGAATCCTGGGACAGCCAAGTTGGGTCTAAAATTGGACCTTCAACGTTAATCGGCAGCCGAGCACATCACTCCGTTTTCTCTTTCCATTCACGCAGATTCACTCTTTTCCGGACTCTAACACTTGCTTCCCACCCCCTTCCGTTTCACACCACGACCACAGTAACTAACCCATCGTCGTACACTAGGATCTGGAAGGAAAAGTATGACCCGGGAAAAAAGAAGTAAAGGGAGGGGGGTCCAATTATTCATCGGGATGTTTTGAACATTCAAAAGGGCAGGGAAAAGGGAAGGCGAGAACAGGGTTACCGTGCGAAAAGAGCCCAAAAACCTGTTCTAGACACTTGATCTCTGTGCTATCTATGGTCCCAACGGCCGGATCTGAAACAGCCAGCCAGTCAGTCAGTCAGTCAGTCAGTCAGTCAACGAGCGTTAGGTAGGCAGCGTTGGTTTTTTATTTTTGGTTTACAATTACCAGGAGGAAATGATATCCCATAACATATATCAAATACAAATAGTATCAATGACAACGTTCACGGCCATGACCCGTGTCAAGGCCAACCAGCAACTCGGCAACAGCAACCGCAGTTCAACCACATGGTCTCGTGTGGTTTGCGGTGTCAGACACTGCAAAGGGTGCAGGATCGGGAAGGATCAGGATCAGGATCAGGATCGCCCGGAATCCGGAGCTCGTGCTCGATCTCCTTTCCCAGCCATGCCATCGGTCGTCGTGCCTGCTATTTCCTTCACTTCGGTCTAGTCCCCGAATACCTACCTACCAGGAACCCACGCGTGTGTCGTAGATCCCTGCTGGAGTATGGGATAGTGGGTAAGGTATGATAGGTACGTGATGGAAGTCTAGATTCCATGTTATGTTCACGTGTGGTTTTTAAACAGCGATGTATCTATGTATATCTTTCTGCGCGAGCAAGAGAAGGTTTACCGGCCTCTCTATTTACGAACGACACTTGAAAATGATTTTCACACCTTCCCAGCCTCCAGCCTTCTCCTTTCCAAAGAAAACAAAAAGACATTGCTTGGTCCCGCCTGGCAGTCCTTGTGACGTTTGGCGGATGGCGATGCCATGATATTCCATGCTGGGTCGTGTGGCCCAACAAAGATCAATATCTACCTACCTACTACCATTCCCGCCACTCAACACAGGAGGCTCTACAACAAAAAAAGGAAGAGGTTGAACGTTTGTTTACTACACGTCTGTCGTTGGATTTCCTTCACTCCCGGTCCGGGTCCGGGTCAAGTATCCGGAGAAGTGCAGTGAAGGGTTGCAGTACTGCGGCTCGCGAATCGATCGAACGGTAGATCAATGAGGATGAGAGAAGATGGGGAGGCGGGTGTAGGATTGCATGTGTCATTTGTCAAATGTCAAATGTTTATGCAACCACTTTGGGAGTCTTCTTGTTGAAAAGATTGAGGGATGAGGATGGACAGGGTAGAATTCGTGGGTATTGAGTAGTAAAGGTGGTAGGTATTGTCCACAATGTAGAATAAATTGGAGGTCGAGATAGCATGCAATGTGAGGTTGCTTTTGTCCATAATCGTAGGCATCTGTGGTATCTTCATGGGTTACCTTAGATACCGTAGAGTGTCATCGTTGAGGATCATTTTGTCGTTGTCATTGTTATTGTTGTTTTCGGTTTCGGTTGTTATCCTTGTGTTGCTGCCGTTACCGTTGCCATTACCGTTGCCATTACCGTCAGTCATTGTTGTTTTTATCTCCGGATACCACCATGAGCAATATCAAGGATTCTATCACTTCTCAGATCTATTTTTTTTCCTTTCCTCAGAACATATGATTCCCCATCATGATCCATCGTGATCCATGTGATCCATGTGATCCATGATGATGATCCATCCCCAACCTCTTCATTTTTCTCTCACGACTGACTGCTGCTGCGAAGCATCCGCATCTTGAAACTCTGAAACATCAACTGTGGATTGGAACAAATTTTTCTCGGCTCCCATTCCGGGCACTGCCACTGACTGCGCTCCATTCCTGACCCAACCAAACCTCCCAAAACCTGAAACGTCGTTTCAGATTATTTTTTCTTGTCTGCAGCTGCATTGCATAAGTGCATGCATATGCCGACCCCTTAAACCGCTACGCTACGCTAAAACATCCCACATTCCCACTCAGGCTTCAGCCCACTCACCCACCCAACGGGCAGCCCACCGCAGCGTATGCAAGTCGTAAGAACTTCACGATTCAAGGTCCGCTAACGACTGCAAGGAAATCTCTTTTCGTCTTTGGTTCCGTGCTTTGCTGTCCCGATTGAACGGGCAAGAGCCAGTGAAGATTCAAAGAATGTCCAAGACTTGATGTTGCTTTGCATATGTAAGGGTTTTCCTTTTTTCTTTCAAGATACAGAGGCTGAAGAGGTTCGCTGTGAAGACTCGGTGGTTGATCACTTCCGATGCGATATGCAACTGCCTTACCCGTCATTCTGGGTCGGCTGGGTCGGTCGGTTTCCCGATTCCCGCCATGTGGTGGACTGGTGGTGTGGTGTGGTCCGAGGTGCCCGGTGCGATGCCCGGTGCCGGGCGTTTCGATGTGTGGTGATTACAGTGGTGAGTGGTGATGTGGTTCGTTCAGTGATCGAATCGGTTCCGGTTCCGACTGTTGATACCCATATGATCAGTCGTCTGATATCAAACGACAAACGGCTGAGTCGGTGCCGATTACATGTTTGTCTGTTGGTATCTCTAGTTGGGGCTTTGCCGGCCGAGGTCCCCGCGCCCGCACCGCACATATCCACAAAACAACTCCGGTAAGCACGGCGGCGGATCCGACCCGTGATGTTTGCAAAGGTGGATGTTGGGGTTCGGCTGTGGTCGGAGTAATGTGGACGGAGGAGAATGCCGGAACGGTGCAGTGGAGATGCCCTGCAGACGAGAAAACGGAGGAGGGGTCCAGTTCTTTCGTAAGCCGTTAAACTAGATGCAGGTTTATGCCCGGTGTATGATTCGCTGTTGTTACAAAGCTTGGAGGGGCTGAGGGGCTGCTGCAGATTTCTTACGTTAGCTCATGTGGTTATGTAGTTATTTCCGCAAAGAAATCCAGAATGTCGTCTGCAGAGGCATCGATTCTGTCATTGCGTGGGGACGGGATTGCAGTGCAGTGGGTGAAAAGCAACGGAGTGTTTGCTCGTGAGAGCAGAGAGGGCTCTTGGTCGGAATGCCCTCGCTCGAGTTGGTCGCTTGATCGGCAAAAGCTTTGACCAACCGAGCTTTTTGTGCACCCCCCCTCCCCCCTACCCCCATGTTGTTTACTTGCCCCTTTTTCTGGTCTTTGTCTATCATCGCCCATGCTCCCTGGGCGCTAGAGTACGCAATCTCAGAGACGACAACATGGTCTGTAGTTCACAGTTTGACATCTTCTGACCGAATACCCTCAAATCTGCTCCCGTTCAAGTAGTACATGCGGTCATCTCTCCCACTCTGTTTGACACACTCATCTATGTTATGATCATGCATTCACTCAGCTGCGGTCGCTAACGCGAATCATGTCGTCTCGACCACGGTGACGCAGCTCGGTCCGGATGTTAAACCACTTCTTCGGCTTAAGTTTCCTCTTGTTTTGGAAGTCATCGCCGGGTTTGGGAGGTTGTTGTGCTAGAGGCGTCGGTGATACAATCGCGGTAAGACTGCGTTTGTTTTCGTACTGCTGCCGTACAGAGAATCTAGTCGTATAGCTTTATACGGCAAAGCTCGAGCCACTTTTCACATGCACCGTACAGCCATCTGCACCCCCCTTATACTGCGATGTCAATTGTCGCTTCGTTTGCGACGATAGGGTGCTTATAGGGGGTTATAGCGGGTTGAGCGTCGCACGCATACGCTGAGCCCCTGGAGTTATAGGGTGCAGCAGATTACTGTACGGTATTGACTATATTTTCGAGTATGTATACATTTTGTCGTTTTATACGATTATGCCGAAAAATGTACGGTTTTTTGGCCATATATAACCCTAACCCGGGCAAGGCTATACGAGGCTAACATAAGGGGGTCGCAGATTGCATTTTCTCACGGCAACCGACCAAACGATACCACTTTTGTACGGTTTTCGTACAAAAACAGTCGTACAGACCCCTTTATACGACAACCGTACGAAAACAAACGCAGTCTAAAGGTCTCAGACCGAGCTCTGCGTTGCAAAGAGCCTGGTCTTTCGTGAAAGAATCTTCCAACCATCACCACATACCACCAGACCTTCAGGTCCAAGCTCGCTCATCGGATGCCAGTGGCGCCTCTCAACATGCACTCTCTCACGGCACATTCTGCGAGAGAAAGATTGGAGAACATCCGATGGAATGTCTCGCTTCCTTCGATTGCGTCCATGCAAAATCCACTTTCTGCTCGGTACCACCTGCTCTTCTTGTCAGAGTCAAGCTTCTCGAACGAAAAAAGGATCTCCCTTGACGGATAACGGGAGTGAAGCCTCAGCGGCCCAGCCAAGTCCTGCGGTACGCCGTACGCCGTCTCGTAGTCGTATGTCTCCGTGCTTCGGTGACACCGAGACACACCGTACTAACACCGCGGTGCCCTTGCTGTGACCTTCCTGTGTGAAGCGCTAGCTAGACCTGGAAGTCCTGGGGAGAGAACGGGGGAAAGGTTTTCTTGTTGTTCTCCTTGGTTCTGGCCAGACGTAGTAGCGCTACAGTCGAAGTACGTAGCGATAACGACTCGCGGCTCACGAGAGTGTTGAAAGCGCCTGAGGGAAGGAGCTGAAGGAATGGAAGACAGCAGGTAGAACCTGAGGTAATCTTGCCGCTGCGGGAGGGAGTGCGGCGGCAAAGGCGGCAGTCTCTATCCTTCATTGCTGTCACACAACATAGCCAGTAGTCCTGTGATATGAAGAGGACTGTCTTTGTATTGTCCACCTTCGCGAGTTGGTATTGCCGTGGTTTTACAGACCCCCTTACTCGCGAGTTAGGTGAGAGTTCTAACAAAGTCAGTATGCAACCTTGGGTAAAACGATGTAAAGGGTAAAGGCACAATAGCGGCTGAGAAATAGATACCCTCCGGTCCTTGTTGGCTAGGTATACTCAGCCGGATACGAGGCAGAGATAGATGTACGACAACAATCCCCCCATGGACCAAGGCCCACGAGACTGGAAGGTCGGGTATGACATGACATTGGGCAATGGTTCGGACACAAGGCGTGCGTGCCGTCACAACAATAAGGCCCTGGAGACTGGATTGATGATGAACCTATGATGAATGGCTTGGATCTTCCCTTGCGTCCCTCAAGCGAGAGGGCATCGCTTACAAGGGTATACGGGCTTCTGAGGCTGAACGAACGGTTCGAGGACGCCGAGTTATGCTGTTCGGTCAGTGG